GTATATTTCAGCATGGCATCCCAAGAAAGAGATAATGCTGTAACAGATATAGAACCATATAATCATTAAGGGTCTGACATTTGAACGCGTCCCACACCGTCCGCGCGAAATTGTAGTCAGCCTCACTACATTCTCGATCGGACAAATAATTATAGAGGCACTCTCGGCTTGGTAAAATTGGATCATCAAGCTTCTTAATGTCGCTTACATAATCGTACGGAAAGATTCCCTTACGACTCATGAACGCAAATTTTTCCGGATTTTTAAATGCTTTCTTTAACACTTTAAACTGACTGGGCTGCAAATATTTGGCCAATTTCTCTAAACTAGAGTTCAAGAATCTATTAGAATCTACAAAATTCACTAAATATTTTATCTTATTCCCTTCCATTACTCTCTTCGTTATTGATATAAATAATTCTTTGTTACAAGGTATAACCGACAAATTAGACCCTAACTGCGTGATAAAGGGAGGGATATCATACCTACTTAAATTATGGAAGATAACAGGAAGTAGGGTAGCTTAAATTGAAAACATTTCCTACATTCCCAATGAATGAACCCCACAAATCAATCTGTAAAATAATTATAGTACTTATCTTTATACCCTAAAATTATTTCCTCACAGGCGTAGCATTCAGTGTTTTCCATCTCTGTTGGTTGCTCATTTTGCAATAGTTCTTTAGGGCTTGCGGAATTCGTCCAGTACAACTGATACAGATCGTCCATTTTCCGCTGCATATGACCAAGAAATTCAGCTATGCAGGTTTCTCCTAATAAAAATAAGAAATAAATAACCAGATTCAATTAGTTACTTAAATGAAAAACAAAAACATTTGTTATATACTCACCAACAAAAGTATACTGTTCATCACACTCTTCGTTATACACATGTTTAACATAATAAGAGACTGCGCACGCTTCATGCTTTTGAATTGTTCTCGTCCCTTCGCTCCTCTTAAGAACTTCTATTGGCTTATGCACAGCCTCTATATCAGCATATATGATTATTGGCCGCTGATGGAAATACACTTTTCACTTTGGTGCAACCTTCCTTATGGTGGGTTCCAGTCATGGTGTAAAACGCTTGACACAAATCACAAAACTGTCCTGATGTATGACTTCGCGTGTATTGAGTTTTTACCAATCTTTGCATGTTGGTAATAAGACAATAATGATATTGCTTAGTCGTTTCGTTAGAAACAGTTAGCAAGTTGATATGCAAACTTTTAGGTTCTTTTGTGGCTCTTGCCGGACCAACTACTTTCCATGTACTCTTGGAACGTAGCAATTCATATGTATTGATGCTGAAGTCTTTGTTGTTCTGCTCAAACCGATTGATGTCGCAGTTGGTTATAGGGAATTTTAATCCAGAAAAGTCAATCTGAATAATTCGAAATTTAATGACTATCTCGCGAATACTTCCGATTTTATAATAGCTCATGTGAGCTAATCTGCGTAATTCGTCTCCCAACGGTTTGTCGAACTTGTAAGCGATAGCCGCTAATATGCATCATTTAAAACAGTAGACATCAGCATTTTTCACATTAATTGTAGCCTTTTTAGTGAATATACTAATTGGCAATGGTACATGTGAACCCACAGGAATGGACTCCAACTTGCAAATGGTTAATTCACAGAATTTAAATTCTGCTATCGCCCAACCGCTATCTCGTCCTGGTATTCTTCAGTTGCTCTTTTAAGCTCAATAAAAAGCTCGTCAATCTTATCGCCAACTTCACTGTTTTCTCTTGCAGCAACGAATTTCGTTGAGAAGTGTTTCAATGTTATCACCATTTCTGTTTCGAAGCCCTTCACGTAATCTCCAAAAAGCCTCAAGTTGAATTTTACAGAGCCAAATTCATCTAATATGATTTGAATTTGCTCGTGTATAAATGTGCGGATATCATTCAAAAATTTGTTTATTACAATCTCATCCCTCGAGTCGCTGACGATTTTATATTGTATCACATTTTCCGATGTCGGCGGAGATGTGATGAACACATTTTCTTTTAAGAGCACAGCTGCCTTCTCTTTGTGCTTGTTGCTCCTCAAATGGTTTTTGTACTTTGTCTGCATCATAAAAACTTGGCAGGGCTCGCAGTAAACCTCACTGGCAGGAACTTTCTTCTTGGTGCTAGCTCCAAACACTGCTTTACGCTTACCGCCGTTGCTTGTGGACGGTCCGTCATTCATAATGGAAGTAGGCGGCTGGTTTTCTTTAAATGCTGTTTCACAGCTTGCCACGAACTCTTTGCATAAATGGGTATGGAATAACTCGTGTTCGGTTACAATCACACCACAGAAATTACACCTTGTTTGTCGGTCACCAATTTATATAGGATAGAAATGTTGGTGAACTTACCTTCAAGCGTTATCTGTAAAATTCCATCTGTCTTTTATTTTTCTCTATAAATACTTTGAAGTGTGGTCCGATTGACCTTTTTCTTTTTATCATTTATAATACACCATAATACTAGTTCTTTTTCCATTCTCAGCGGGGTATTTATACGAATGGAAATAGTGATAATAAGAAATAGAAATGAGGAAGGATCATGAGACGTGTAAGTGTTCTGAAATGCAATATGGTGAAATAGCATCACCCGGAGTGCACTTAATTTTTTTCTTCGTGGAAATTTGTGTAGACATGTGTATGGACGACCGTGTCCCTTTTTTTTATTTTTATTTTTTTTTATTATCGGAATCGTAAGTAATGTGTGTTCTTGAAGGAATCCTGTTTTGGTTTGGTCATTAAGATGCGTGTAATGAAGAGAAGTGTTTGTGTGAATCTGTGTAGACATATGCATGCACGATAGTGCTTCTTTTTTCATATACTTTTGTGAAGGGAATCATAAATAATTCATGTGCGTTGAGGAATGGTTTTTCGTTTGTGTAGGAGGATGTGTGTAATGGAGGTAAGATTTATGGGAGATAAGTGTTTGTTAGCGTGATATGAGGGAGTGTAATTGGAGAGGGAGGGACATGATGGAGTGTGATCGTTGGCATTGGAATCCGTGTTGTGAGGGTAAGTGGAGTGTCATGTGAAATGTGTAGTAGACGTGAGGGATGATGTTGTGTGTGTGTGTGTGTGCGTGGATACGCGCATGTGTGGCGTTTGGAGTGTGGCCATGTGTTGGGAGCGGGGAAGTGTGCGGACATCATTCCCCCATATATATACTACTATACGGAAAATTTTGATGAGCAAAAAAAAACAAAAAAGTCCTTCCTTGTTTCGGGCTAAAATTCGCGGCGACGTTCCATCATATATATACTACTAGTAACACTTAGCTGGGTACTAATGTGTGGACTCCATTAATCTATACCTGTTAGTGCTCTGAAAAATTCAGTCTATGAATCTTTATATGATATTACGCATTTCAATCCTATACAAACTCAAGTCTTGCATTGTCTTTATCATACTGAGAATAACGTTTTGCTGGGCTCACCCACATGTTCAGGTAAAACTGCAGTGGCGGAAATCGCCATACTTCGAACACTCAATGATTATGAAAGAGCTAAGGTTGTTTGTATTGCGCCTTTGAAAGCTTTGGTTAAGGGAAGAACTAACGATTGGATTCTCAACTGATATTTACCACACCAGAAAAATGGGATGGTATCAGCCGGTCTTGGCAGAGAAGAGAATATGTACAGGATGTTGTACTAATTGTTATAGACGAAATACATTTACTAGGAGAAGACAGACGCATTGAAGTAATTGTGTCACGTACGAATTTCATTACGTCACTCACCGAATGCAACGTGCGTATCGTTGGTTTATCTACTGCTTTGGCCAACGCTCAATATCACGCTAATTGGCTGGATATTAAAGATATGAGGTTATATAATTTTAAACTTTCCGTAAGACCGGTTTCTTTGCAAATGCATATAAATGGGTTTTCCGGTCATTAAACCGAATTGAATAACTTTTCTGACTTTTTTTTAATCATTTATTTCAGGCAAACATTACAGTTTTTGTTTCATCCCGCCATCAAACTCGATTAACCGCTTTCGATCTGATTACTTTAGATACCTACGAAGAGGTAAATGAGATAACGATAGGAAAAGTGTGTTGCTCTAATTTATTTCTTCTTTACTTCTTTGCCAGATACTAGATTATTTACGCTTATACTTATGGTATTCTGCCGGTGCCGTCTGTGTTCTCGGTGATGTAAAATACTTTAACAAGATCAAACGCTACATTATCAGTAACTACGAAGAATCAGATAAAAATGAATAATACCAATACGTACAATTTGTTAAACGCAGTGTGGATGCCAAAAGATGTATTATCTTTTTTTTTTTTTATTCATAGAGTTCAGTTGGAAATCCTTTTGTTTTTTTGCAGGCGAATCAAATCTTTTGTGCTTACATGATTTACTAAACGCTGCTCCAGAATTGTTAGCCTCTTCGTTGCTTTACAAGTCGCGTATACAAGTAGCTCAAGTTGTATTATGGGCTTACGGACTCGATGATCGAGAATTTGACGCTAATGTTAAAGAATGCTTGGAGGCTTCATCACAACGTCCATTGGAACATAAGCATGACTGGCTGTTAGTTCTTAACCATGCCTTGAGTAAAAAAATGAAATATCTCATGATACAACGTCGAACAAAGAATTTCGCTGAATGGCAAAATTTTGTAGACGCTGTGGCTCACGTCGGCCCCCGCCGAATATAGCTTTCTTACTGGTTCTTTTCTTTATACGATATTTATAAACTGCAGGCAAACATGCATAGTTAAAATCAGTCTAAATCATGCTCTTACAACGAACTAAAGACTAATAAAATAATCACCTTGCTCCATCATCAACCTTTGCAATCGTGAACCGACGGTAGCGGACGAACTCAGGCTTTCAAGAACGAGGCAAATTTTCTTTTAAAAGCATTTTCAGAGTCAGGAAACGATCTCCATGCCGAGCGGATAAGGAACAACCTTTCATCCAATATACGAAATTTATATAAAAAGGAGCCGATAGCCTGTGTTGCTAGTGCTCAATATATTTTTTTAGTCTAAGAATTTATTTCATTAGTCTAAAATTAAAATAATAATAATAATAATAATATCATATAAAAACGTTCGTACTTGTCTTAGAACACTGGACTCGTTTGATTAAAAGAATTGGCGCTTGTGACCGAGCAATATAACCAATGCCGACAACACAAATAGCACAATCACAAAATGGACTTGTAATGTTAATGACTTGCACGATGACTTACAAGAACAGCAATTAAATGGTGATGATTAAGCACGTGAGAGAAGCTGAGCGTGATATTCTGAGTCTCAGTGATCATGACGATGAAGAATTAAGCGTAGAAAACACTCGCCTTTAAATTGTAATTATAAATTTGTACACTTACCTAAATGAATACCTATCGGAAAAGTGTATTTTGGATTTTTCTTAATTTAGTACAATATTTTATATTAGTGTTTTTTTCTTTTTTTTTATGCTAAATAATTGTACTAAAGCTTAGTATATTTTGTGTTTGAATTTTACAAATTATTGAGTTATCTAAGTATTATTATTATTATTATTATTATTATTTTAATTTTAGACTAATGAATTGAATTCTTAGACTAAAAAAAGACATTGAGCACTAGCAACACAGGCTATCGGCTCTATCTAAGTAAATTTCGATAAACGCAATTAATTTGAATAGTGTTTTTAGTATTTCTTATAACTAATTTATGTATTATACGTACGCGATGAAGATTTGATTTTTTATTCCTTTATACATTTACGTTATTTTTTCGGAGGCCAAATAGTCTAGAACTAATTTTAAAGTAAAAATTTTCATTTTCACTGAAGTAGTTTGTTCGGTTTGTACCTATGTTAAGTTAATTATCGCATTAACCAAATCTTATATTTATTTATATATATGTATTATTTGTTTAAATTTAGTTCTTAAAATTTCTTTCTTCCTGTAATGACTGTTTGAATACAACGAAAAAGAACAGAACTAATATTCGCTTTCCTTTAGAGGAGAATCTAATCCTTCTTTTCCTCCAATTGCAACATAATTTAATAAAAAAAAAATGTATATTTTCAACACATTTCTAAGTTTTCTTTTATAATTATCATTAAATTTATGTTTAAACTTTAATTAGCTATTTATATATACTCAATAAATAAAAAAAAATATTTTTGTATGCAATTTCTATATTATTTTCAAATTTATTTGTATTAAAAAAATATAGCAAATAGATTGGTTGTGCCCCATTTGCTTATAACAAAATTACCATGCAAACACTAATAACAACATAGCCTTAACGTTAACATAACGTCAACCTAAAATTACCATAACCCCATTTCTCAAAGGGTACATTTTCAAAATAAAAGATTCTTCATTTATCCGCTTGCATTCATGCTTTTCTACGTCGCCATGGTGCAAGGCGAAAGTCTTTTATTATATTATAAATTTGATTTTAAAGCGGTAGTGGTGTCTAGGTAATAAGAATGTTATTTAAAAACATATGAACCCATGCCTTAACTTCTTTATATATCTTGACCCGCTAGGATTACTTTGAGTAAAAAACATGCAACGTGCGATCTACGAAATTCATGCAAATTAGGAAAACACGTAAAGTGTAAGAAGCATCATTGCCAAAAGTGGTAAAATAATATAGCGGCATACATATTTGTAGTTGTAATTTCGCCAATATGAATATAATGCAGGTGTACAATAAATATACATTTTATAATAAGATGTCATCATCAGCGAACGGTAGGATTGCATGCATATACTATTAATCATTATTACTTTTATCTATTAACGTACGAGATGGATGCAGTATTCTATAAATGCTTTTTACAAATAATGAAATGAATTTTTTGGGGGATTTTTCGCCGTTTTCTATGTTCTGAAGCAATTTTATCTTCCTCCACTTCGTCTACTCCGGCATTTCCGTAGACGACACAGCTTTTCAGTACACGGTGCGTTCCTCAGCTTATTAGCCTCATATATTCTTTTACGTTTGTCAACTTTATTTTTTTATAATTAATTTGCTCAATAATTAATAAGTCCTTTGAAAGTCGATGAATAATAATATTTTATTTACTATATCTATATATTTATCAAGTCTACTTGAAGTCATTTTTGCGGCCAGGAGAATGTTTACAATAGATATTACACAGACGATTTGAATTTTACTTATTGTATACTCTACGATATAAAGAAGACGCAATTAGTTAATCACGTTCCGGATAGTGATCTAATAGACAAATTAAATTTATGAATGCCCTTCTAGAAGTGCAAAAATCGGATGATCGAAAATATTTCTAAATTTTAACAAGAAGTTGTTGAAGATGTTTTGATCTTGATTATGTTACAATACGTTTTACTTACTGATATATTTTTTTTAACTGCCCAACAGCGACTTATGACTGTTCAAATTTATTAATGGGTCAATATTTATGTCCGAATCCTAGTGAAATTCAAATTGTCAATGTCATTTTTATTTGGTGTATCGCAGCTGAAGTATTGAATGTGAGACTACCAATACTAACAATACTTTTAAAAATGATATGCCATATAAATGGCCGTACGTTATTTAGAGTATCTTTCAAACGAATAATACATTTTTATAATTTCAGTAATGGCTATTTGGATTCTCTGTTACTTTCCGTATTTACGGGCATGTTTGGTTTCGATCGTTTCTATTTGGGCTACTATGGCATTGGTTTATTAAAAGTCAGCACATTGGGCGGTTTCTTTATTGACCAATTAGTCGTTATTATTTTGATTGCGTACCAAATTGTACGAACCGCAGATGGGTTTTATTATATTACAGCATATTATGGAGCTGTTTTTGAAATCATACGACGCGATAATGAAACTTATCGTGTCTCTAAGGACGACTTTGTGAATTATTATGTATAATTGGATAATTTGTTGAGAAAAAGGACTGAAATGTTTGTTTTCTACTTTTAATTTGCTCGCTATGTTAATAATCATTTGTAATTTGCTATATTTGAACAACAAACGTCGTCCTATTGTTTGAATTACTCAAAGTTGTATATTCGAATTGTTCTATTTTGTTGCCCGGTCAAAGCCTCTGAATGGCATTAAAAATTTGGCGTTCATCGTACATAGTAACTTTGATCTACTCCTTTTTAACTTGTGGGATTTGTAGGGACGCTGACGACTTTTCGCGGTAATTAAAATAGTTTATAAGCAGCGAAATGAACGAAAATCAACTGTGGAAAGTTTTTGCTTAACATGTCTAGGAAATAGCTTTCAATATTAATTTTAAGGATACGCAAAGAACCATTTGGTTAGAATCGCTTGGAAATTTATTTGTTTTAAAATTTTATATGAAAACATATATCTAAACAAAATTTGTATATTTAAATAGAATGCCAATGATAAGCGAACCGAATCATTAAAATTCCACTATCATTTTCTTATTGATTATTTACTCTGGTAAAGCGTTAAGGCATTTTCTTCTAATATATTCTAAGATTTTATGCCTATCGACGTCCCAAGGTTTCGATAATTGATAATCCTTACTACTTATTATACTACACTATATGAAAATAACTGAAAAGAATATTTATTCCCAGTTTCGATTATTTTATTATATATAGAATTTTTTTTCTTGTTTGCTTATGCATGACGTTTGTAGCGAGGCCCATCAATTGAAGTCATAGATAAGATAGATTACAAAAGTTTCCGGTAGCACGGCAGGAAAGTTGGAACAAAAGCGGAATATTAAAAGGACCTCTGCCGTAGTTATGTGTGGGGCCTTGTGACTACCTGGTGAATTTTTCACCTTAACATTATTCAATTTTTTAGAGTTATAATAATACGTCACGCTCCTTATTTCAGTTTACCTCTTTCTCGTCTTCGTTTGGATAAATGACATGATTCGATTATGAATTCCTTTTTTAGCATTTGAAATTTGGCTGACTTGCAAAGAAATTAATGTTTATGTGAGAAGCATGCACCAAAAATAACAAGTGAAATTTTCTTATGCGGTGTATTCTCACATTTTGAAAGATTCATTCGAGAATGTGTTGGCTTAATTGCACGGGGATTCTATTTAGTGAGTTGCAACGTTTTGCCCAGAACTGCCCCCGGTTTTATCCTCAATTTAGTAAAATGGAGTATATGATTCTTGGCTAGAACCAGATGGGCAAGTTCGGAAGAATGAAAAATGATAAAGGATTTGCTGAGATTTGAGAAACGACTTTAAGCTTAAAATTGAAAAACACAATCGAGGAAGTGTCTTGTATACACTAGATAAGAATAAAGTGGAAAAAGTAGCAGTAGCAGCCATTTTAGGCAAGGCGTAGAGTTATGGTAAAGAAAAAGGATTTACACTATATATCGGATAAAGACAACTTATGAGGTCATTGTCAAGCTTATCATCACTACACAACTTTCTTGGCGAACGCTTTGCAAATTTATTTGTGTATTTCTTGTAAGAAATTATATAAAATTCAATTAGGAATTTGAAAAGTTTACAATTTTACAGTTTATTGCCAAAAGAGACACTTGTAGCTTTTCTCACCATTTCTTCCATT